GAGAAGTGAGTGTGGAGAATGGGGGGCTCCTGCAGCTGGCAGACTCTCCTCTGGGGACCCGGGAGCGTCGGGGACGGTCCCTGTGAGCGCTGCGCCCTGCAGACACCTCGGGACGCGGCGCCGTGAAGGCCAGGGCTGCGCTTATCCTTATGACCAAGTGTTGCGGGCCGCGGGGCCAAGGCTGAAGATGTGCGCAGCCCCCCATCACCCAGGGGCAGGCCTTGTGTCCAGAGAGACAGGATGTCTGTGATGGTGGATATCGGACAGGAGGCTGGGGGTGGGGGCTGGGCAACTGGTCCTGTCTCCTGGCGTGGGGTCAGGTGAAACGGATCTTCCCAGGCTTCTCCTCCGCCCTCTGTGCCTACTGGTGACGGAATGAAGGACATCTAATCTCCAGCCTCGCTGATGAGCGTCACAGCTGCCTAGACACAAGCCACCCGTGTGAATACCCTGGGTGTGCAGGAACGGTACGTGTTGTGACAATATACAGCGCTCCGGGCAGTTGGCCATGCAGAGGACCTATTTCTACCCCAGGGCCAAGGTGAGCGGAAGCAGAAACGGGGTGTATGACACACAGGTGTCCCCAGGAAGAGACGTGAGGACAGGGCGCAAGTAGCCCCCAGCACAGTTTCAGACCTGGCCCGGCTCGGCCCTGCTCTGCCCATGCGAAACCACGGAGAGGCAGCATCCACACTCGGACGCCAGCTCCTCTTCCCTGTCCCCGGCTCCAGGCCGCCCCCAGTTCCGGCCGTTCCTGCCCTGAGCAGCTGTCTACAGCACAGTCTATTAGGGAAAATTCTGAAAGTACGTCCGTGAATCCCCTTGGGTCGGCGACCGAAGTTTCCCGCTCTCACGGACGGCCTGGGTTCTGACCCGGGAAAGGATGCCCGCGGCAGGCCCACCACTCGCTCCAGGTTCCCAGGCCACGCCCAGCGGAGAGCGCCTTCCAGCCAGACGCGCCCCTGCGCGCCCCGAACCCCCTCTGCGCAGAGGAGCGCAGGGGTCCGAAACCTCTGAGCTCAGATGGCCTTTGCGTGGAAACACGGAAGATACTGTGTTTCTCATTCTGTCCCTTCCTCCATCACCCCCTTTGCTCTCCGTCCTTGAGAACGAATCCTTTATCCCGGTCTTGCCCATTTCCTGGATGCACCGCTGGATGCTCAGGCATGAGAGTGACCACGGCCAGCGGCTTCTGCTCTCCTGGGTCATGCTTTTCTGACGACCGTGCCTGGAGGGGCACAGCAACGACCACAGAGCTTCTGGGAGAAATGGGACTGGGACCCCCCCCCCCCACTGAGAAACACAAAAAACACCGGAACCTGGTAAAAGAGACAGCTGCTTCACGTGTTCAATGATGAAGCAGTGCATAGATACTACAATAAATACGGCCCTTCATGTGGAACAGACCTGACGTCTCTCAGGAAGCCGGTGTTGGAAGTGTTGCAGCTTGCACACTGGGAATTGGCACGTGAGGGTCCCCGGGGGGAAGACCGTGCGACCAGACGTGGACGGCTGTGGCTCACTGCGTACGCGGCCGCGGGGAGGCGGCTGGGTGTTTGAGGCGTGTGGGTGTTTTGTGCTCCCTCCACAGCGGGGTCAGCGGATGCGGGTTCTGCATTTACCTCGAGTTTCTTGCAAGAGAAACTGTGCAGAAACAAACACAAAATTATTCTTTTTTTGGTTAATCCTCACCCGAGGATATTTTTTCATTTATCTTCAGATAGAGTGGGAGGGAGGGAGAGAGGGAGAGAGAGAGAGACAGAGACATCCACGTGAAACAGGCACATCAATTGATTGTCTCCCGCATGACCCCGAGCAGGACCCCGAGCAGGACCCTGACCAGGACCCTGACCAAAGTTGGGGATCAAAGCGCAACCGAGGTGCAGGCCCTTGACCGGAAGCGAACCCGCAACTCGGTTGCTCTAACCACTGAACCAAACTGGCCAGGGCCACAAAATTATCCTTGTACCCAAACTGTTCCCTGGTCACGAATCATGTTGAAATAAACTCTCATCAACACATGCGTTGTGGCAGAACGGACTGAATCTAGATAATAAAAATGATTATGATTTAAAGAGTGAAAAGTTAGGAAGACCCCAGTGAAATGAGGCTGTGAAGGTAGCAATAAGGTTACTGTTACTAAGCAGAGAATCGATGACTCAGATAAATCCCAGCCCGCTTAGTCCCACTCTAAATTCCATCTCAGCACAGGGATACATTCGCTACATTCGCTACATTCGCTACATTCGAATGAAAGGCAAACCGTCGGGAGCTGTGAAACATCCGTCAGTCCTGAGCCAAGGCTTCCAAGCTCCAGGGGAAGCTGTTACAACACACACCAGGCTCCTGGAAAGTCTGCGCCCGACACTGTATCCTTCATATCCCACCCCTTGGGCCAACTGCACTAATCCGCCCTCCCTCCCTCCTAGGGTTCCTTGTCTCCTCCAGCACCCCACCCCCGAAGCCCAGCAAACACAGTCCAGCCCTGTTTCCCGCAGGTGAAAATGCCGCGCCTAGGGGCAGTAACACGGAATCGGTGGTTTCGGAAACACCTGTGCTCTTCTGAGTGCTGGAGGCCAGAGTCCGACAGGGGCTTCGTGGGCTCACGTGGCGCCACCGGCACCCTGCCCGCTCGCCGCATCCCTCTGCGTCCTCACACCTCCTGGGACACCCCCCTTCCTGCGGTCCTCTTCTGATCACATGGGGCCACCAGGACGACCCAGGGTGCGCTCCCATCTCAAGATCCGAAATTTAATCACATCTGCAAAGTCTCTTGTGACCTGGGAAGGTGACGTGGCCAGAGGTTCCAGGACTTGGGGAGTGGACGTCTTTGCAGTGTCACTATTCCGGCCACCAGTGGCGGTGTACAAAGTCCTCGACAACTGAGGCCACATAAGGCGGCAGGTCTGCTTCTCCGGAAGGTCTCATGTCACACTGCTCAGGCGGGACGGGGGTCTCAGGGGCGCTGGGGTACTTTAGAGGGGGCTCCTTAGGCAGTGTAAGAGTTTCCACCTTTGTTGTTGTTGTTGTTAATCCTCAGCGGAGGATATTTTTCCTTTGATTTGTAGATAGAATGGGAAGGAGGGAGGGAGGGAAACACATTGAGTGGTTGCCTCCCACATGACCCCCACCTATGCCAGGGATCGAGCCTGCAGCCCAGGTACGTGCCCTTGACCAGGAATTCAATCCTGGACCGTTCAGTCCTCGGGCTGACACCCTAACTGCTGGGCCCAGACTGCTGGGGGTGTTTCCACCTTCACAGCCAGCACAGCCACGCCCGTGGGCCCCACTGAGGCCGACCTGCCCCGGCCTGTCCAGGCTCCTGCGATCCTCCTCCCGCCCGCGCTCCGGTCAGCGGGCGGCACTGCAGGCTTCTCCCTGGACTGTCCCCTGGAGCCCACCGCGGCCCGAAGACTGTTTCTACACTTACCCTCCTCCTGCAGAACACACCCAGGGTCATGTTTGCTACTCCCTGCCAGGGCCTGGGCTTGAACTCCGCCACTTTGATTCAGAAGTGGGGCTCCTAACCACTGTGGTTAGGTCTTCAAGGAGACTCACATCGCTTTGGGCAGATAAGGGGAGAAAGTGCAGAGACAGCGAAGGCAGAGGAGGTGCCCAGCACGACGCCTGGTCCCTGCGCGTCTCAGACGCTGACACAGAACCCTCCCCCTAGGGTGCCCCGGAGGACTTCTGTTCACAGGGCACGAGGCCTTATCTACTCTGTAGGACCGATCCGGACACTCCTGATTAGACAGCCTGTGATAATGAGATCACGGCCAACCTCCAAAGCAGATCGAGTCTAGCCTCCCTCTGATCCCGGCTAGATCACATTCTAGAACCAAGTAGGCTGTGGGCAAGTAGTGAGACAGAGGAATAGATCAAGTCTGGAGTCAACAGTTTTGCTTGTAAGACCGAACTGACGGTGGCACAAGAGGACTTCTGGAATATTCTCTGAAACCTCCCCAAACAGGAAGAGCAGCTGGGGCCGGAGCAGCGAAGAGGCCCGAGCAGACCACTCCTGGGCTGCGAGTCTCCTGCTCCCCTCCGGCTGGTCGTCGTTAGGAGTGTGCTGTTCACACCGGAGGAAATAATATCCAACAGGAAAAGGAGCACCACACAAGGAGAAAAAGGAATCATCTGCAGGCCTTTTTAATTTCACTGTTCGAAGAAAGAAATTCATTCATTGAAGTGAAGCATTACATAGGAGAGATGAACTTGCGAGGGAGGTTTTCCCCCCCACCCAAATAAAATCAGAGTGACATCTTGATTGTATTTCTATACAGTCCCTTAGGATCCTTTATTCTGTATCAATCGGAAGTAAGTAAAAGGCTAGACGCAGGGTGAGTGGCATTGGAAGGCGCTCTGGAGAAGAGAGGGGAGCACATTCTACTTCACACCCTCTAATCTGATTAAGAACCTAAAACATTCTTGCAGATTTGGAAAACACCCCTGATATTTAAAATTTCCTAAAAGGTAGTTCTCCTCCCACCTTTACGATGGAATACTGGGTGATTTCAGTCAAAAAAGCATGATTGTTACCCCAAGAAAAAGCCCTACGAGGAAGCACTCGTGCACCTTAGTCATCAGTGAAGCGCCCTATGACTGTCAGCGGGAACAGGTGAGAGTCCGGGACATCAAAGCGCTTTGTTTACCCCTTTGAAGCCGGGCACCTGCTGTGTACCAGGCACTTGGCTGCCGCTGGAATCCACCCGTGCCTCTCCTTTCCTGTCTGAGGCGTGGATGGAGCGCCTTCCTGGAGTCCGGCCGTCCCTGCCCCCACGTGTGAGCACACGCACACGTACACCTAGCCAGTGGAAAAGAAAAAGAGTTACTCACACTCGTGCACTTGACAAAGATTTCCAGGCTGCGATGGGAGGGCGTTAGCTCTCCCTGAAGGATGAATAAATACGTAGCTCCCTGACAACCTGTTCACAGTCACGCCGAGGTGAGACCCGAGACCCAGGTCCTGCTCTCCAGGTGCTGCTGAGACCGGTCCTGGCAACATGCAGGCGCTAGTCATCTGCCTGCTGCTCGTCTTCTCGGGAACCGTGGCCCCCAGATCCAGCCTCCCTCAGCAGGATCGCCTCTTGATTCGATTGCGCCAACTTATTGATGTTGTTGAGCAGCTGGGCAATTTTGTGAATGACTTGGTAAGGCTGTCCTTGTCCCAGCGCGGTTTAAACGATATGCTCCAGTTGATGTAAAGGACGACTTTTGACTTATCAAAACAACTCAGAACTGGTTTTCTCTTGCTCTAGGACCCAGAACTTCTGCCCGCTCCGGAAAACGTCAAGGTAAGGCCAGTTGAATTTACTTGTGGAGCTTTGTTTGACGGACCTCTTTAGGAGGTTTAATAATGGATAAAACAGTTCTTTCTATTTTGGTCAAATATTTGAATATTAATTTACCAGCGAGCCAACCAATAAAATGCTACATACCTTATAAAAGCTCTTTCGTCTCCCACTATCTCTAAGAGCACATCTAGGCAGTACTGATGAGACAGGATAGCAAAACTAGAAAATAAATCTATGCTATGGTCAGTTTCTGAACAATGACCCACTGGCTATGTTTGAAGAGCCCTTGTGCATGAGCCTTGAGCTCTTCTGTCAACCTAAGGAACAGGGACACACCATAAAAAGCAGAGCTCACCCTTTAATAACTTGAAAGAAAGAAAGGGAGGAAGGCAGGAAGGGAGAGAGGAAGGAAGAAGGCAGGAAGGGAGAGAGGGAGGGAGCGAGGAAGGCAGGAAGGGAGAGAGGAAGCAGGAATGGAGAGAGAGAGAAAGGGAGGACGAGAAAGAAGAAGGCAGGAAGGGAGCGAGGAAGGCAGGAAAGACAGAGTGCAGGGCACACCGCGGGCAGAGAGGAAGAAGGCCTCCTGTAGAACAGAATTCCCGGATACCTGGCCCCGGCGAGTCTCTCCCGCGGCCTTCGGTGGCTGAGGTCTTTTGAAAGGACGGTTCCCGGCCACTCATCCCATTCTCTAAAGCCATTTAAATCCAGCTGGTCCGGGAAGAAGAGGCCTGGCATCCAAGGGGCTGTGTCCCCATGAACTTAGTCTCAGGTCTGATACCCTGAGAATATACCCGCAGCGGGGAAATGTTGTCCTTGTCACAGGCCTCTAACTGCTTCAGTTACAATAACTCTCAAAGTGCTGCTGGTAATCAGGACAGCAGAGGGGAGACAGGGAGACACGCAGCAAAGAAAACACTTATGGTAAATGATGATGTGTAAAAGTTTAGAAAGTGAATGAGTCACAACTACTGCTTTTCTCTAAAATTCACTCTCGGGCTCTGAGCATAACCACTCTCGTTCACGGCTGCTGTCCTAGCGAGTCTGAGACCAAAGCCGCACGTTCAGCTCGCTGGAAACACTTTTCCAATAAGTAAGAATAGGTCTTCATGTCCTAACGCTCAGAACGGAACGTTTTTCAGCATCTCGTGGTCTTTCTAGAGTTTTGGAGTCTCAGTCTGTAACTTGCAAAATAAGAAGCAAGAGAGAGATCCTACTTTCTAGCTTTGAGTTGACCTCGTGGGGGTACTTTCTTTATGAGCTTTGCTAAAGAGAGGTGTTTCTATCTTACATCATAATGCAAGGACTTTGCCCATCAAACTGTCTCCATCGGTGCAAGGCGTCTGCAGGGCGATACCGGCTCTAGCTGGTGAGCAGCTCTGGCTGTGATACCAGTGAGTAAGGGTATAGCAGAGACGGTTCAGCCTCGCTGCCGGGCAGACTCAGGAAGGAAGAAAAGAGTTCAAGGTCACCGTAGTGTTATAGCAAAGGTTTTCAGAGCCAGCATCCAGGCAGGGTCTATAAGAGACTTAAAAAGGCTCAAACTTTTAATGAAAATAACTGCATCTACATTTTGCAAGTGAGTGTTGCTACACAGTCATTATCTATGATCTCTCCTGCCCTCATCTTTCTAATCACAACCAGTGGTCCTGGACTGGGGGGGATTCTGCCCCCCCCCCCCGAGAACTTCTGTCAATGTCTGCAGAATTTGGCTTCCACAGTTTTGTGTATGTGTGGGTGGGGGTGTGTGGTATGTGGGTGGCATCCAGTAGGTGGAGGCCAGAGATGCTAAATGTTCTGGAATGCATAGCCCTGGCCACAGGAGTCATCCAGCCAAAGTACCAGCAGTGCCGGTGTTGTGAAACCCTGATTTGACCCTCGCTCGGGTGTGGGACAAAGGTTATTTGGTGCAGTTAGCTGTCAGAAGGCAAGTATTTTCAAATATTCAAAGGTAAAATGGCAAAGCCATGTGCGCTCCTGGCGGAAGCAGCCCTGGCTGGGCTGCTCTGGGCTGAGGACAGAAGGGAGGTGACTCTGGCTTTGGGCTCACTGCTCCCTCTGTCCTGCAAAATGCATGTAGGGCAGCTGAGTCCCTGTGTTCCCCTGTGTTAAGGACAAGGGGAACCAAGCCTAGCTACACCAAGGCAAGCACAGGAAAGCGTGCGTCTGCTCCCAGGAGGTGTGCCACATATGCACTTGGGGTCATCCGGGAAATCCCTCGAGTGTAGGGCTCCTGTGGCTACCTGGATAAGTTTCCTTTCTCCATGCCCCTTCTCAGCACACCCTTGCTGCAGGGAGCACACCCTTACTGCAGGGAGTGAACCCTTACTGCAGGGAGTGAACCCTTGCTGCAGGGAGTGAACCCTTACTGCAGGGAGTGAACCCTTGCTGCAGGGAGTGAACCCTTACTGCAGGGAGCAAACCCTTGCTGCAGGGAGCGAACCCTTGCTGCAGGGAGCACACCCTTACTACAGGGAGCACACCCTTGCTGCAGGGAGCGAACCCTTGCTGCAGGGAGCACAGTCTTACTACATGGAGTACACCCTTGCTGCAGGGAGCACAGTCTTACTACAGGGAGCACACCCTTGCTGCAGGGAGCACAGTCTTACTACATGGAGTACACCCTTGCTGCAGGGAGCACAGTCTTACTACATGGAGTACACCCTTGCTGCAGGGAGCATAGTCTTACTACATGGAGTACACCCTTGCTGCAGGGAGCACAGTCTTACTACATGGAGCACACCCTTGCTGCAGGGAGCACAGTCTTACTGCAGGGAGCGAACCCTTGCTGCAGGGAGCGAACCCTTGCTGCAGGGAGCACAGTCTTACTGCAGGGAGCAAACCCTTGCTGCAGGGAGTGGTAGCTCCTCCACCTCTTTTCCTCCGAGGCCGCCTTTGAAGTGCATCTGGCGTCGCATCCAGCAGTTCCTTGTCCTGGCTGTACATCTCCAGGGACAGCTCAGTGGCCCTCAGAAAGCACAAAGCCAAACCCTGTAGTCTACAGACACAGGGAGGGCCGGAGAGGGAGCCTGGCCCCACCAGCATGAGCCACGGGGTCCAGGCGTCACAGCGTCACCCCTGGTCCTGATCACCTGCGACGCTGGCTCAAGGGGGCTTGTTTGGAGGGGCCCCTCTTCTTCGGAACCCAGTCTTCTTCCAGCACACGAGTAAATGTTAGCTCAGCAGAATGGACGTCGGTGAGAAATGCTGGTTTCTCAGCTCAGCACAGATGAAGCAGTTAGCGTTTTCAGTTTCAGCTGGAAAATTTACCTCTTTAAATATGAATATTATTATTTTTCCAGTAAGTTAAGCCGGTTGTGGTCAAAAAGGAGAGAAAAGAAAAAACTTCAACAAACAAGAGCATGTGGTTTTCAAGGAAAAAAAAAGTGCTATAATTAACATTTATAAATAGTTTCTATTAAATAAGCATTTTGGCAAACATGGGAAGGACATACCTTGCCCTCGCGAGAGGCAACCCACCCGAGAGGAGGCAGCCAGATGGGCCGGCTCTCGGCTTGTGGTTCTGTATGCAAAGTGAGTCCCGCAGGGCTGTGTCTTAATGTGCACGCTACTGATCAATGCGGCCACACTGGGTGAGCACGGGTTGGAAAATGCAAAGCAGGCCAGGTGCTTTTTTCAGCAGACTGTCCGTGAGGCTCAGGGGGTGCTGTTGGAACCCAGAGGCTGAGGTTTCTGGGTGCAAGGCAGGGGCTCCCACCCCGCTTCGGAGAGGGACACAGGGCCGCCTTGGGGCGGGATGGCATCACACACACACACTGGCTGCAAGGGAAAAGGAACTTGGGTACAGGTGCAGCAGAAGTACAATGTTTTCGACAGGTCAGTATAAGCTTTGTTCTTCCAACAGACTTCATTTGAGTGCGATTTCTAAGATTTTTGATGTATTCACTAGTCACTAGTTGTTTGACTAAAGCAAGAGCCACGGTTGGAGCCTCACTGTGCCCGCTTCTCCATGGTCTGAGGCTGTAACGTGCCTGTTCTCTTAAGCTGGGGGAACCCTCCTCCCACTGGCAGGGCGAGTCTCAAATTCCTTCCTTGGCTGCTTGGTGCAGGCAGGGTCCTCCCGACCTGACCCAGGAATGCCAACAGCAAAGCCACACGTGGTCTATGGCCAGGGCACTGACTCCTGGCTGAGAACAGCGCCACCAGGGGTGGGCACCCACTTCCTTTCCTCAAAGGAGGAGTTTTAGCTCATTGACTTCGTTTGTTGACTCCGCCATGAACAAGGCACCACGCCAGGTGCTGGGCAGCATCGGGCGCGGGTGTCAGATGCTCCCGTGTGCGTCGTGGAGCAGAAACAAACGACAAGATTCTTCATCAGACCACAGCGTAACTCAGGCCGAGCTGCCCCGCCAGTGCGCAGAACCTCGCGCTCTAGGGAATTCTGCAAAACACGGGCTCGGCCCGCCCGCAGCGCGCAGGCATGGGCTGGGCCGTGGGCAGCCCCTCCCGCTGGCCCTCCCCACAGCCACGGGCCCCGCCGTGTCCCCGTGTCTGCTGCATGCCTACGACCCAGGACACTGCCCACGCGGGAAAAGAGGCTGGGGAAGGGCGTGCTGACTTTCTAGCAGCTTTGGTTACCCCCCCCCCCATTCCTCCTTCAGAGACACTGCGAGCAGTCGGCCTTCTCGTGTTTCCAGAAGGCCCAGCTGAAGCTGGCGGACGCAGGAGACAACCAGAAGACACTGGCCGTGCTAACGAGGCAGCTGACCAGGAAGCTCCCCGCCACCGAAGCAGGGAGGACGCCGAAGCAGAGTCTAGTAAGAGCGTCCTTTGTTGCCCATTTTATCTGTTCGGATTGAGCCTACCGAGCCCGCGCCCCAGCCAGAGCCTCAGTGTGTTTTGCCAGTTGCACTTTACTTACAGCGCCGTTGGGAGACATGAAGTCACCCTCCCAGGTCCACAGGCTGGATGGCGCCCGGAAACCCCGCTGGGACTCACAGCCCCCCACGGAGCTAGTGCAGCCTCCAGTGGCGAGGGAGTCGCCGGGCAAAGAATCCAATGTGACTTAGGGGTGAAAAAATACTCTCCTCTCACCAGCGGTCACCTAGAACTTGTACCCTCACGACCAGGAGCTAGACCCTAGCTTTCCGACAAGAAAAAGGACAGCCTACCAGACCAGGACACATCTCGAACGTGTCCTGTGCAGTTGCAGAGTCCGGGCTCATTTCGACAGGCGGGCCCTGTGGTTTGGCTGTCCCTAGTTTGGGGGGCCCTGACACCCTCCTGTCCCTCTCTGTTTGCCACCCCATGAGCAGTGCTGGTCCTCCCATGAGTAACTGAAGCGTTAAGCAAAACCAGTGGGCAAACACCTGAGGCAGATCACTCCCCAATTTTTTTTTTTAAATCAGTTCTTTCTCTGCCAAGGAATGTCACAGCCATTCAAATGAAATCTTAGTTACATTGTGAACACGTAACTTTGTGAACATGTAACTTTGGCTGCTTGACCAGGTGGAAATGTGAACAGCATCCCCCTCAAACCTTCCTCAGATAGAAAAGAGCTGAGCATGTCCTTGAAATCCGGCATTGGAGACACATGAAATGATGGTGCGGGTTTAGAAGTACCCGGTTAGGCACCTGCGTTTGCGAGGTGGGGAAGGGATGATAAAGGGCCACCTCAGGGACTTGTCCCCACAAACAGTGAGAGCCAGCCGAGCAGCAAAACTTCCTCTCCTCCCTGTGGGTCTGAAGCTCTCCCCACAACGCCAGGCTGGTGACGGACACCGAGTACCAGGCAGTAGCCTGGAGTGTGGGCTCCCAGCAGGAATAAGGGTAAAAGTACACAAAACACACTTTTTCAAAAAGGTATATAGGCGCACAATACACAGATGAAAAATTCTTCACTCTCCCTGTAATCAAGTAAATGGGAATTAAAACAAGGAAATCCTATTTTTTTCCAATAAAAAATGTTAATGCTCAACAATAGTAAGAATGCTCTATGTGAACAGAAGTCAGACTTTTTACCTTGTACAGCAAAAGCCTTAAAATTTTTTATCCCTTTAATTTAGTCATTCTACTTCTATAAATTAATCAAATAAAATAAACCAAGATGTAAGTGAAAATCTATTCAGAGATGTTCTTTGAAACATTGTATAAAATAGTGCAATGTTACAAGCAAGCTATGTGTCCCAAAATAGTTCTAGTTCAATCCTATGTTAGAACACAAGGCTACTGTTGTGTATCCTATTTTTGAAGAATATTTAACACAGAGAAAATGCTCGTGGTGATGATATTTTTGATATCTTACGTGTAAAAAAGAAGAAAAAAAGCAAATTACCAATTGGTGTAAATAACATAAATGCAGTGAGAGAAAAAAATCACCGGAGGGTATATATTGAAACATGGCTTCGGTTATCTCTGATGATGGAATTACAAGTGATTTCCCCATTGTTATTTTCTGAACAATTGTATGTGTTTTTCTATTTTATTCAGTGAACACGATTTATGTCTCTAATTGTAAAAAAAAAAAAAAAAAAAAAATCTTTTAAAGGAATGCTTTATTCAATAGGAATATGTTTTAAAGAAGAATGTTACTTTTTCCATTGATTTCTAGACGTGCCCTTCATGTGATTCTTACAAGAAAAAACCACCCAAGGAATTCCTAGAAAGACTGAGATCACTCATCCAAAAGGTACCGCTTCAATTCTGTTAGATTTCCTACCACATTTCGATGCCGACTGCATCCCGGGTGGGGTCACTCATGTTTGCTGTCTCCACAGATGATCCATCAGCGCCTGTCCCAGAGCAGGTGAAGCAGGTGGGCTCCTGAGGACTCGCTGCAGCTGGACACTATGTGACGTACTGTGACGGCAGGAACACTGACTTCCGGGGATTCCCAGCGGAGGAGCTCAGTCATTAGTGATGGGGGGACACTCTGACAGGTGTTCCAAGTCCAGATTAGTCCCCCCGAAGCTATGCAATACTTCCGCTTAATCCACGTGGTCGGTATTTGTCCAACTTGAACCATCTGCTCATTAGCATCTGATTTCCTATGTTACGGATTTCTGCGACTTCTAAAATGTTTATTTAACTGCCCAACGACCACATTTCTTGGTTGGGGACAAGCTTAAAATTTTTAACTGAAAATCCAGTTTGGGGATTTATTGATCTTATATTGATCACCACAAGAATGAGGTCTCTGATAATCTTAAGTCAAAGTGACGCGCCTTGATTCCCGCCGAGAAACGAGACGCGTAGGGTCCGCAGGGAAAGCAGGAGGCTCCCGTCACTTTAATGAAACAAAAACTAACTGTTTAGAAATGTCTAGCTGAGAGTTTACTTTTTAATCTTAGAATGTCTAACATATAAATATATAATTTATTTATGTACCAGAGGGCTATCTTTAGCAGATGGCTACACAAAAAGTCTTACTTCCTCATTGAGATGTATCATCTATTTAAATACTATAGATATGAATGTATTTATGAAATAGACTCTTTTCGTCTTTTTTTCTTTAAGTGGGTTTGATAGTCCCTTCCCAAGTCCCTTTATGAGCTAACACTCCCTGCTGGTGGAGATGGTGATGAACATCTATAGAGGAACATCCTTCCGGTGGCCTTCAAACCAGAGAGAATTTTTTCAAGTCCTGCGGCTAGCACTCTGCTGAAATCGTTTTAGGATTGCACGGGAGTGAGCTAATAAGTCCAAACACCTGTTTCCTTCTTCCTTTCTTTTCTTTCTTCTCTGAAAAATGACAGTTTGTGTCTGCAACAGGCAGAGTCAGGATAGGAACAGAGCCCGGGACGCCTGGCCACGGAGCAGGCTCATGGCGTGAGGACAAGAGCCGCTCGGTGCGCCCCGTCCCGCGGCCGAGTCCACGCAGCCAGGAGCCGAAACTCGGGGGAGGGAAAGTGCTCCTCGCGCCTTATAAGCTATTCGAGACCCTCTCACTGTTAACGGCTGAGTGTGCGAGAAGATGTGGGAAATGCCTTCTGCTCTAAGGAGGAACAATATCTGCTTGAAAGTACTTTCACGGTTTCTAAAAGACATACCGGGGCTCAGCATGCACCCCCTCCGCGCAGCGCCCCGCAGGCAGAGCCTGGTTCCACCGAGTGAGGGTGGGCGCCCCGGCTCCTGCGGGTGTGTGCGGGGCGAGGCGTCCAGCAGAGCCCACCTCTGCAGAGGGCCCCGGCCGGCTGCGGGCACACTGGAAAGCAGCCCCAAAACTTGGGAAGAGAGTCTTTTTTTCTTTTTTTATCTTCACCCGAGGACATTTTTTCATTTTTTGTTCAAAAAGAGTGGGAGGGAGGGAGAGAGAGAAACATCAATGTGAAAGGGACACATCCGCGGCTGCCACCGGCATGACCCAGGACAAACTGCAACTGAGATACGTGCCCTTAGCGGGAACCGAACCCAGGTCTCTCTGGACCGCAGGCCGAGCTCTAACCGCTGAGCCAAACCGGCCAGGGCAGGAAGACGAAGTCTTTATTTCACGTTTCTGGCTTTCCAGTTGTTCACTTCTTTGACACTGTGATTTTTATATTTAAAATAACGTATTTATTTTGGTGTGTTTACTGTTAGTAAATATCTGTTCTAATCCATTTGACCAGAGACTCTACCTTCAAAGAAAAGTGACTTAGTGGGGTGTTGGCTACGAGGCTTCAGTAACCTGAGTTCAAAGCCGCGGGCAGGGTCCTGGGGCCCCCTGAGGAGAGGCAATGCCCCGGAGTAAGTGGCGGAGGAACAGCTCCCGCCCCGCCCAGGACGGCCCGCCCCCCAGCCACGCGAGGCTGACCCAGCATTACTGGTCACCTACGACGGGGAATCGGGGGACTGCACTCCTGCTGGCTGTGTCTCTTGCTTCAATTTTGGGGTTTCTATTTCCTATCTGTAGCATGAGGCTGTTGGACCTAATTTCTAAGGTCTATTCTGTCTTTTTAAAATTTTTTAGAGCTTTATGTGTCTGAGTCGCTAACATTCTGGATAATCCTAGAGGAACATCTGACCAAACTTCTGAGTCAAACTTTCTACTGAATCTGATGTTCAGTCGATTAACATGATCTCAATAGGATTTGTAGCAACACTCACTGTGAGAACAAGGAAAAGTTTCCAAAAAAGGGGGGTGGGGGGGAGAAAGGAAGAAAGAGAAGCATTGCTGTAGGTCCCGAGAGTTGAGGGAAAAGGGTAAGTGAGTCATGATTTCCACTCTTCTGGCTGAAAGTGTCTTCTTTGGACCCTTGTGTAGAACTGTAGCATTATCATCTGTGTTACTGCTCTGTTGTGTTGATATTTGCATTTGAGAATTTAGTTTTAATATGAACGATGTACTTTATAACTTAATGATTATTTATTATATATTTGGTTTTAAATGTTTTTGTTCATAGCTTCTTATTTAAATTTAAGACCTGACCCTATTAAATACTACCCAGTGAGCACTAGTGTCTTCTGTGATTCCCTGGAGACCCTTACTTCAGCCGTCTTAGCAGAAAAGAAAAGTGATGACTAGTTTTGGGGACCTTGTTTTCACGTGTTCGTGCTAAAGACAATCTCCTTGCCGACACGCTTCACCGAATGGAACTCTCCACTTCCGGTCTCTGCCTCTGGGGTACGGTGCCCTTTGCGGGTCCGGGTGGCATTGCAGATCTTCTTCCCAATGCCCATTACTTTGTGCAAACTTTACTCCCAGCTTTTCTGTCCCCGTTCCTTTTCTTCTTTTAAAAAACATGTTTTTATTGACTCTTTAGAGAGAGAGGAAGGGAAAGAGAGACACAGAAACCTTGATGTGAGAGAACCATCGACAGGCTGCCTCCTGCACGCCCCCTACTGGGGATCGAGCCTGCAACGCGGGCACGTGCCCCGACCCGGAATGGAATCGAGACCTCAGTCTACAGGACGCCGCTCCATCCACTGAGCCACACTGGTCGGCATGTCCCCTTTTCTTATTGATGACTGTCATCTGGTGAACACTTCTCCATGTTCACTGAGGACATTCTTTCCCTTGAATCCAACGTTTGCCGCCCAGTGGGTGACTTCAGTGCCCACGACAAGGATTCCACCCACACTGACGCCTCCCAGAACCTGACCTGCCTCCGTTCCACACACCAGCATCTTACTCCTTTCTCGGCCCGTTCACATCCCGGTGGCCAGGCTCCGTTGCCTGGAACCACCGTCGGTCCCCAATCTTTACATAGGTAACACCTCTGCCCCCAATCTCTCAGTTCTGACACTGCTCTGTTCTCTCGGTCCCAAGACCTCATCAGACAGCCAGGCCCCCGCCCCATGGGCTCAGTTCATTAGGTCCCCTTCGTCCCCACGGAGCCTAGGCCCCAGACCAAGCCCTTGACCTGCAGATGCAGCTGAGGGCCCATCTCATTCCTGTCAAGAACGGGCCCACGCACTCCCGCCTGGGTGCCTCGTCCAGCATCAGACACTGGCTCTGGTCCCTACCTTTGGGGACTCTGTCAAACTCCCCTATCTGGCTTCCTGGGGTCACTTTGTCACTTCACTGTCAGCTCTGAACATTCACCTGCTTCAAGGTCTGCCCCCTCTACCCCAGGGCACAGGTGAGTGGGGCATGACCTCGCCTGGCCCGGGGGAGCGAGCTTCGGCTGCTTCCGTCCAGCCCCCGGAACGAGGAGTCTATCCACACCTGCGTCTACACTCCCTCACCCACCCCCCTATCAAACCGCCGTGGTCTGATTTCTGACCATCCCACACCCTACTGCTGTGTCACTAAAACTGCCCTTTCTCTGGTCAACAATGACCCCCAGATGACCCAGCTCGCCAAAGTGCCCTCATCTCACTTGGTCATCATGGCTTTTGCCACCTTCGATCACCGCCCTGTCCTCCCTGACTGTGGAGGCGACTCTTCCTCCCGATCCTGTGCTCCCTCTGACCGCTCCCGCACAGGCTGGCCAGCAGAGCTAACCCTCCGCGGCAGTGGGTGTCCCTGAGCCTCTGTCCTTGCTACCTTGCCTTTAAACATGTCAGCTTAATGCTCCCTACGATATTCCTCCTCCCCTCACAAAAACAGGAAAGTCAAAGCACTCAGTATGCGTTTCTAGACACGTATTTTTCTGCCTTCAGAGTAAAACATTGTTTTCATCACATGTTTCAAACTGTTTTGTTTCTCTCCCTTCCTTTATCACTTGTGCTGAAGGAGAAGGTAAAGTGCCGATGAAGAAATCGTGGGAACACAGGAGCAAGGCGAGAGGTGGGGCGGGGCACGTGGGGTGGACCAGAGCGCCGTTGGAAACAAGGGAAACCTACGTCCGGTGGACTCCCCTTCAGTGCGGGCCCATGAGGGACCCACAGAGGGTCCGCGGCAGCCCTGCGGTTACAGAGCATCCCGGGGGAACTCTCGGAGGTGCAGGGTGGAAGTGGACTTCAGTTCTCACGACTCGTCTGACAGGTGGCAACAGCCCGGCACTGGCCCTCGTCCCCAGCATCTCGGGAGCTTGCACAGCTATTCCTGGGCATTTGACTTCTGTGGGGCACCCTCCAGGGGACCTGGGGTGCCACGGGGCAGAGAACCAAGGCTGTGCTCACACGTGTGACGAGCAGAGGGAGGTGATGTGTTCTATGAGGTTCGGGGAACATTCAGGAACTTCTTCTAAGTCGTTTCCTTTATGCAATAATTTAACTCTCCTTGAGGCCCTGACAGCAAAGATTGTGCCCCAGATATGTGCTCACCCTTTACAACACGAAGATACTTCTGGAGACGTTTCAGGTGCAATGAACGATTTGATGAAAAAAGGAAAAATAGATTGTGGGATAATCATATAAAATAATTTAATACAGAAATAAACAAATGAACAGTAGCTACGTGGCTGAATCTCAGAAACATAACGTAGAACAAGAAAAGCGAGAC